TTGAGTTAATATTTCTGAGATGAGGAACTGTAAAATTTATTATTATTTAGGTAAGAAAATGAGGTAATGTAAATTAAAAATTCGGATAGTCCTCATCTTTGTCGCCATAATTACAACGTTTCGGCCTTTCAGTATCTGTCTATATTTCTGAGATGACGAAACTATTTACATTATTCGGACTATTGTCCTCATGGTCGCCATATTTATTCTTTCGGCCTTTCAGTATCTGTTATATTTCTGAGATAACATTATTTACATTATTCGAACCTTATCTTTGGACACAATTTCGTTTCAGTAAACTGTGAGGTTATGTACATTATTTACATTATTCGGAAATCTTTGTCGCCATAAACATCCCTATAACTGTCTATATTTCTGAAACATGCACATTTACAACCTACATACCCCAATTTAAAAAGTATCTGTCTAAAATAAAATCATTCTTGATAATTTCGGCCTTTCAATCTGTATAGCTGAGATGAGGTAATATGTACATTATATACATTATTCGGACTATTGTCCTCATCTTTGTCGCCATATTTATTACAACGTTTCGACCTTTCAGTATCTGTCTATATTTCTGAGATGTCCATGAAATTATTTATATTATTCGGACTAAAATTACAGTATCTGTCTATATTTCTGGGATGAGGTTATGTACATTATTTACATTATTCGGACAAATTATAAGTAATATTTCTGAATAAAAAGCATTAATACATTATTCGGACTATTGTCCTCATCTTTGTCCATATTTATTACATTTCGGCCTTTCAATGAAACATATATAAATGTTAGGACTTTGTCTCATCTTTGTCCGACTAATTTAAATAATGTATATATATATATATATATATATATATATATATATATATATATATATATATAGACGCCTATTATTTGACCACAGCTCTATTAGAATCTATTTAAACAGACACACAAACTTATAGAGTCCATCCGATACATATTAGTATAAAATATAAATATAATTACCTCAAATGTAAAAAGAAAAAATAATGGAAGCCTTAATAATAAAAAAGAAAAAACCAACATTTACCCTAGAACACTAAACATCAATTAAAGTTACATGGGTATATCAGACCCGATTTTGAAAATATCAAAAAAAAAAAAAAAAAATAAAAATAAAAATAAAAAAAAAAAAAAAAATAAATTGAAAAAATAAATAAATATAAATCAAAATATTTTACATGCAGGCAATTCATTTTACTTTGAGTTAACATTAATAGTGAAAAACATTTTTTAGGTAAGAAAATCAGTATAAAATTTAAAAATGTTATAATTTTCTCGAATAAATAACGCGGACACAATAAATTTGTTCGGAAAATAAAACATCCCTATAACTCTAGAAACATGCACACAACCTTTTAAAAAAAAATAAAATCATTCTTGATAATGGCTAAAAAAAGTATTAGAGAACATTTGGACAGTTTCTATTCACTCTGTCCAGAAAAGAAAACACTTTCATTTAAATAAAAGCCGTAGTACCTTTTCTGTCGTCTTTAATGAAACATATATAAAATGTAGGATTGCTGCAAATACGCAATATATATATATATATATATATATATATATATATATATATATATATATATATATATAATCTATATATATATATATAAACAAAATGTATTTTCGTGATTTTATAACTATGTTATAATTTTCGAATAAATAATTATATTTGCTTACTCTGTATTGAGCATTTTTATATTTTTGTTGGTTATTGAATTTATTCCGTATACAATCTATATTTGGGCATATATATATATTATATATTTATATATATATATATATATATATATATATACACTATGTGCGATACAGTATAAATTACCGCCATTTTATATTTTTAATTTCGCACAGACTCTTTGTTTTTTATATTATCAACTGCACACTATAGTCGGCTCAGCTGTAAGGAAAAGAGCCCCATGACGCAATTCACTCTGCCAGAATATTGGAAATAGTATTTCAAGATATTTTTCTGTAATTTTGGTAAATATATCTCTTAAAATGAGATGTCAGTGTTATTCCATTTATATATGCATGTGGTTATTTGCTTATGCTTAGCTATGTCCTCGGACCATTAACTTATTTTTTTTATAAAGCGACCAATAAGCAATACGCAGTGAGAATGGAACTTATTCCTATCTGTTCAGAAAGTAGGCTGTTAACAAATACAACACAATGAAGAGACGTGGCTGTCTATATAAAATGCACACAGACCACATAATTCTGAAGCCTTTTGAACTTAGAAATAGATCATCCATTTAAAACGAAAGAATACAACTTTATATTTTAAGCGATAAAGAAACATTAGTACAAAATGAATCTACTAAAATCTGCACCATTGAAATTATTTACACATATGCAAATACACACATTTCAGAATATACATATATCCGTGTGTATGTGTGTATTCGCCAACAAATTTGTGTCTTGAATTGCCTTTCTTTACCATGAAAGTTGTATTTGCCACATTATTTGTGTGTACCCTCCTTCTCAGTGTGTGTAGCGTAATAGTTTCCTGTAGCTGCTGGGTGAGGGGCGAGCGTGTTAATTCACGTGTGTTATTCCCGCGTGAAAATTGGCCCCTACAGAAGTTCAACTACAATACAAGACAGTAAAGAAAGGAGGAGAAGGAAAAAAAAAGGTTAAATTCACAACAGGGCAGAAGTTGCTCTTCAGATCTGAAATCAGTAAAACGATTTGTGAAGAAGAGAGAAAAAAAAACAGAAAATAAATTGTGGTTGTGTGTAATAAAAGAAAAGCCGAAAGCCAAGAGAAAAAAAAAAAACGGTCTAGCTGAACAAGACAACAAATTGGTCGGGTCACAAGAATTCACGCTCCAATTTCAGTCTGTATGTAATTTGAGAAAGAAGATATCAGTAATGGATCATACATGCCTTAGTCGTCATCATTGATAATGTATATAACAGCCACTTGTTGCTATTTTATTAGCAGATAATAACTGAAATATTGAAATTTTTCACTTTCTTTTCGGCTTTATTCCAATGTTTTCAAATCGTTTGCCTGTCGCAGGATAATGTCAAGATGACTAGACTCTGTAACAAAGTGGCGCTCCAAAATATTTTGGGTCCGTTTTGGTTAGAAATAGACATTGACGCCTTTGTCATTGAAATACCAAATGAAATACCAAACACACACACACACACACACACACACACACACACACACACACACATATATATATATATATATATATAGGTATGGTGGACTTTCCTATCGTGAACGATAAATGAGGATCAAGATTGGATGGTGCTTTTGTTTTACACTTCTTAAGTGTGATCAGCCTATATATATATATGTGTGTGTGCGTGTGTGTGTTTTGGACTCCGTTATCCATGAGGCCATCAATAGATTTTATAGGGTTAAGCCGCATTTTGTTGAAAAATGTTCAGTTTATTTGCGTCTTCCCTATATTGGTACAGAGGGTGAGACTTTATCTAGACGAATTTCGCGTGTGATTAATAGCTGTTATTTTTCGGTTAATGTTCGAGTAGTATTTGTTACCGTCCTGTTTTCTCTTCCATTCGTAAGGACGTCGCCCCCAAATCATGTTAATTCCGTGATTTATAAATATAAGTGTAGTTGTGGACTCGACTACATAGGGAGGACATCCCAAAGTTTGGATGTGAGAATAAAACTACACTTACCTCCCCAGGATGTTTGAATCCGGATGCCAGGAAAAGCCAACTAACCAATACTTCTGATTCTGCTATTGCAGAGCATGTTATAAATAGCAGAAAATGCGTGTTTGATTTTAGTGTGGACCGTTTTTTTGATTTTATCTAGGTCCCACTCCACATTTCACCTCAACGTTTTAGAGTCCTTGTATATCAGATCCCGTGGGCCTTCCCTTTGTAAACAGAGGGAATGATTTGCCGTATGTAATAATCATATTTACCTGCTCACGGAGTGAATATCCTGCCATTGCTAAACTGAACACTTCTGAGTTAAACGCGGTAGGCAGACTAGGCATAAATGTACACGACTGACAAATGTAACCTAGTTTATATAGCACCATCTACCGTAAACATTCTTTAAACTTAATAATTCAAAAACGAAGAATTTGCAGACATATGTTTGTACGGACTTTTGTCCTTGTTTTGGTGTGAGGAACTCGCTCACAAAGTTTGTAAAAGTATTTTTGATACAAACTACATATATATATATATATATATATATATATATATATATATATATATATATTGAAACTCATACACCAAAAATACTAACAAAATCTTCTCTAGCAACATGAAAATTTATTTATGTATAAACATCATATACCACACGCACACACACAAAAATACGCATACATACATATTGACACAGTGTAAAATTATTGCATTTCAGCTTCCGGAATCAATTATTAGATATGACGTCATGCAATATGACGTCACTTTTCTGCCCGATGCGGTTACATTTTTTCTTTCTTATTCCACGCCAAAAGCAGTGTGACGTCACCAAATTCATCGCATTCACTTCCGGTGGTCTCTTTCGTCCTCATTTAAAAAATGGTAGGAAAAAAAAAAAAATAGAAAGAAAAATATATGAAAAAAGAAAAAAAAATGGATGCTAAAGAATATTTCTAAACCTAAGACAAAGAGAGAAAGGTTAATTGCAAAACAAAGGAGACTCTGTCTACACATGCCGAAAAGCAATATTGACGACCCCAGAAGCATGCAAATCAATTAGGCACAACCATACGGTTAAGACGACTGTTATCCTTGAATGAAAGTGAGTTGAGATGAAACGGCAAATGGCGCGAAAACTTGGAAGTCTGCTTGTGGGTCACGTGAGGGAAGGAGGGATGGCGGGTGAAAAAAAAAAAAAATACAAAGAGTTCGGATACACAGGAAATGCACAGAGGCAGGAGATTTCAGAGGAAGAGAAGAAGAACATTTATTCACCACAAGTTTCCGGCTTTTTGCTTTTATCTCCCTCCCCCGTCATTGGTTGCTATGACGTTTTTTCTCTCTCCTGTTTTTTTTTTTGCACTCTGGATTCAAAACTTTATCTTCATTGTCTTTTTCTTACAATTTTGTTTCTCTTATTATTCTCTCACTTTCTCTTCCTTTCACGTACGCTCTCTCTCTCTCTCTCTCTCTCTCTTTCTCATTCAAATTCCCACTCTCTTTCATTTTCTCTTTCTTTCATTTTCTTTTCTCTTTCGGTTTCTCTACCCTCCCACTTCCATTTTCTCTTTCTCTTTTTTTCTTTGTTATTACACTTTTTTGTCTCTTTCACTTTCTCTTTCACTTTCATTTCTTTTTCACGTTCTCTTTCATTTCTTTTTCACTTTCTCTCTCTCTTTCACTTTCTTTTTTCTTTCACTTTCATTTCTTTTTCACTTTTTCTCTCTCTTTCACTTTTTTTCTCTTTCACTTTCATTTCTTTTTAACTTTCTCTCTCTCTTTCACTTTCTTTTCTCTTTCGATTTCTCTTTCACTTTCAATTCTTTTCCCCTTTCTCTCTCTCTTTCCCTTTCTTTTCTCTTTCGATTTCTGTCTCTATTTCACTTTCTCTTGACTGACACAGTTTTTTTCCTAGTTGTGTCTTTCGCTTCTCTTCGGTGCGTCTTCTCGATTTTTTTTTTCTTTCTTTCTTTCTTTCTTTCTTTCTTTCTTCTTCTTCTTCTTCTTCTTATTATTATTATTATTATTATTTCCAACACTTTTCTTATTTATTTCTTTATTGACTTTATTTATTTTTATTGTCGCCGTTTTTCTTTCATTCAATTGTCTGCTTTAATTCGTTCTTTCATTCGATTGTCGACTTTAAATATTTCTTTTATTCGATTGTCGCCTTTAACTTTTTCTTTCACTCGATTACCGCCTTTAACTCTTTCTTTCATTCGATTGTCGCCATGAACTTTTTCTTTCACTCGATTATCGCCTTTAACTCTTTCTTTCATTCGATTGTCGCCTTTAACTCTTTCTTTCACTCGATTGTCGCCTTTAACTCTTTCTTTTATTCGATTGTCGCCTTTAACTCTTTCTTTTATTCGATTGTCGCCTTTAACTCTTTCTTTTATTCGATTGTCGCCATTAACTCTTTCTTTCATTCGATTGTCGCCTTGAACTTTTTCTTTCACTCGATTGCCACCTTTAACTCTTTCTTTTATTCGATTGTCGCCTTAAACTCTTTCTTTCATTCGATTGGCACCTTTAACTCTTTCTCTCATTCGATTGTCGCCTTTAACTCTTTCTTTCATTCGATTGTCGCCTTTAACTCTTTCTTTCATTCGATTGTCGCCTTTAACGATTGTCTTTCTTTTTCTTTCATTCGATTGTCTTTTTTTCTTTCACTCGCCTTTAACTCTTTCTTTTATTCGATTGTCGCCATTAACTCTTTCTTTCATTCGATTGTCGCCTTTAACTCTTTCTTTCATTCGATTGTCGCCTTTAACTCTTGCTTCTTCTGTTTTCTCTTTATCTCAATTCGTTATTCCTGAGTAGCGATTTAAAAACAGATATCATTTTTATAAATTTGCATTCTGATATATTCATCTGAAATGATTCAATGCAGAATCACAAAAAAAAAAAACTTGTTGAATTGGACGCTGAAATAGAAAGGAAAAAGGTGCAATCAATGGTAGAGAATTTATCTAATATGATTTTTTATTATTTTTTATTTCGCCTTTTGATTCCTTCGAGAGGGTAGGGCCGCAACAACACCACTCCAATGGACGCGGTTCCGGGCGATCCTCTTCAGCTCGGCCCGTGTGTTGCCGGCTGCCTTCACCTCTGCGTCAGCACTTCTGCGCCAAGTCTGTTTTGGTCGACCCATTTTCCGCTTATCTTGTGGACACCAGAAACAGGGGTTGCGGAGTGTGTGGCCAATCCATCCTCATTTCTGTTTCTTGATGTCAATCTTGATTGGCGTTTGTCTGTTCCTGTACCACAGTTGGTCTGAAGTTTCTGGATGTTGGTCTTTGTTACCCGTCTTACATTAGGACCGACTTGACGTTGGTGTTGAAGATCCTGATCTTCTTGTTAAGTGAGAGGGTTGTTGATCTCCAGAATGACCGCAGAGTGTTGAAATCGTGTCAGGCTTTGTTGATTCAGCACTTGATGTCTTCATCTTTCCCCCCATCTAATATATAAAAAAAGTGTTTAATGTTTAAACGAATTGCTACGAATAGAAAGTATTTTCAGAGTTGTCAGAAGTCCATCTCTAACAATCAAATATCACATGTGGCTTGTATCATTCTGTTATTTTTCAATTCAGACTACTGTAAAATAAACATTTTATTAAGAGTAAAATAAATTTAGAATTATAAAACTCTCCTACTCAAAAATAGACAGGAGAGCCGGTCGAACAGTAAAGCCTGTTACGATTTAATTTTAAAACTATTAGTCAGAATTCGTAATTCGTTTTAATCTCAACGTTAGCACAGTGCCTGAATTCAAAGCAAGGCTTCCCAGAGCTCGGAATCAATCGAAGATGAGTGATATGCTATTGCAACATCCCAATGTAAAGATTAACCCACTAAAAATATGGTATAAATAAAAAAATCATGAATTATAGGTAAAATACGGTATAAATAAATGAAAATATGAATTATACGTAAAATATGGTATAAATAAATAAAAAAATGAGTTATAGGTAAAACACGGTATAAATAAATAAAAAATGAATTATAGGTAAAATACGGTATAAAAAATGAATTATAGGTAAAATACGTTATAAATAAAAGAATGAATTATAGGTAAAATACAGTATAAATAAATAAGAAATAAATTATAGGTAAAATACGGTATAAATAAATAAAAATGAATTATAGGTAAAATACAGTATAAATAAATAAATAATGAATTATAGTTAAAATACGGTATAAATAAAAAAAAAAATGAATTATAGGTAAAATACGGTATAAATAAATGAAAAATGAATTATAGGTAAAATACGGTATAAATAAATAAAAAATGAATTATAGGTAAAATACGGTATAAATAAATAAAAAATGAATTATAGGTAAAATACGGTATAAATAAATGAAAAATGAATTATAGGTAAAATACGGTACAAATAAAAAAATTGAATTATAGGTAAAATATGTTATAAATAAATAAAGATATAAATTATAGGGTGATTATAGCGTTATTATAGGGTCCTACAAAACCAGTAATAATTATGTCTGTAAATATCTTCTATTAATAGGTTTCTACCTATGTCAACGCGTATTATGCTCTGCAAACGTGATGTTAATGCCAAATACATAATTTAACATCATTATCTCGGTTTTACACCCAGACTCTCAAGTCGATATCCTGCCAAAAAGGTGATCGATATTGACTATGGAGATGACCTATCTATCACTGTAGACTCCATTACTAATGCCACATTTCTCGTACAACATCTAGAAACTGCTGCTAACGATACTGGACTCTATGTCACTGTCCGTAAAACTGAATTCATAAGCTTCAACCAGCAAGACTCAATACAAACTGTCTCAGGAGAATCAATAAAATTTGCCGAATCTTTTAGATACCACGGAAGTAAAATAAATTCTACTGAAAAGATTTTAAAAATTCGCATGGCTAAAGTCAAGGCTGCCTAAGATAAAATAGATATAATCTGGTAATCTGATCTTCCAAAAAAAACGGGTATTCTTTCGAGTCACTGTAGATGTTGTTTTAATGTATGTTGTCACTGCCTGGACAATTAAGTAAAGTTCTTTAGTCTAAGTTTGTTAGAAGCTGAGATGCTGAGAGCTATACTTAACATCTGTTGGGGATAACATCCAACTAAATCACAGCTTTATTGATCCATCCCTGATATTTCTACAATCTTAGGAGAACGCAGAATGCGCTTTGCAGGACAACGCCGGCGAGCAAAACAAGAAGTTGCGAATGATCTACTGCACGGGGGACCTAGTTATGGAACAATATGAGCTGATCGCCCAACAACCATGTACATTGACCAAATATGTAATGACCCAGGATGCCACCCCAATGACCTTCCGACCTTGATGGTTGGTATTTGAAAGCCATGAATATCCGAGCTAGCTCTATCGAATAAAGTAACCTATAACCTATTAATAGCCACTGTCCTAAAATGCGGCGGTGGTTATTAGTAGATTAAATGCTAGAAAGTACTCACTCGGGAAGTAGTTTCTCGCATGATAGTGAGGTAAAAAGAGGCAAATTATACCTCAGTTTTACAAAAAGTGAAAAGTAGTGAAGCAACTTCTTCGAAGCGGGGTCTTCATAGCCCTCATTCAGAGACAATTTAGAAAGAATCCTGAGACTTTTGTATTATACTCTGTTGGTATTTACTAGTATATCTGTTGTAATTAAAGAAGAACAACGTTTCTTTTTGATCGACCTTTGTAGATAGATAGATAAATATTTTTTTTTATGTTTAACGTTGTTATTTTATAGATACAAGTATTAACGACTTGATTTAAGGTGTAACATTTACCGGGTCCGATTTTTAATTCGTTCACACAGGAACCAATCTCAGACACTGGCCACCATGAACAGATCATGAATAATTAAAAAGATAAAGCTATCACTGAATAGTAGACTGACATATAAAAAGGACGCGTTGAGATGTTAAGAAAGAAAAAGTTAAAGATTATTCCGTATCTTAAAGTAATTAAAATAAACATCAACTCCCAAAGAAATCATACTGAGATGAGTCCAAAGTTATCACTATAGAGGAGATGTAGTGAGTAAATTTTGTCTACCATCTTATTAATTTTAGGAGTAGCAAGAATACCAATGAGAGAGGCAGAGAGAAAGAGAAAGAGAGGGAAAAAGAAAGAAAGAGAGAGATAGCGAAAGATAGCGAGAGATAGAGATTTATAAGAAATGCCAATTTGCCTAAGATATATTTTCAAGATGGTGGAATTTTAGTCAAGAATACGAAATTCTATAATATTACTTTATTTTAATTCTTCTAAATCCGTTTAAGTCGTAAGACTGGATTTAGAAAAAAAATCTGATGCAACAAGTTGAGATTCTTTTATCTTGTTTTCTTTTGCAAATGATAAATTTGGTTAACTCTTTTAAAAGCTGACAGATCTAAACACTTTTAATTGAAAAAACAAAAAAAAAACATCGTCAAACATTAGCGCAATTTTTTTTTTTTTAACTTAACTTCCATTAAAACATTGACTGACAGAAAAGAAGTCAGACACTAATTTGGTGAAAAAATACAAATTTTATTAAGTCATAGATTGACTTAGGGAAGCTATAACCAGTGAAATTATAGATGTCAAATCTGTTTCGTTTAATTATTTTGTCGCTAATTAAACGAAGAATACAGTTTCATCTTACAGATGAGAATCTCTATATAATTTACTTTTATGATAATCTTATGATAATTTATTCGAATTCACTATTTCTTTGACCCATTATTAATGTTTAATGCCGCCTTAGTCACATGAGGCGGTCCGTTATATACAACAGGAATGGATCAGTATAAAAATAAGGCAACAAAATATGCTTATATTATTCATTGAAACATCTGAATGAAGATAAAATGCCTATCTCTCTCTCTCTCTCTCTCTCTATATATATATATATATATATATATATATATATATATATATATATGAGATACAAAAAATTGTTCTGACAAGTACAGCCCACACTTTAGGAAGGGCTTTATCGATGTAATTTTTTTTTTTTTTTTTTCAGTGAAAAGTGTCATGACGCCATTTCTAACCTTAGGTCCATGGGCGGGACCCGGAAAGAAATGTGTAAACGTCAGAAAATCAAAGAAAATAATAATAATAATAATAATAATGTGGCACCATCTACCGAGGCAGAAAAAGAAAAGAAAGAAAAGAAGGCAAAAGAGAGGCGAGACCCAAAACGTGGATGATAAGCAGAAACACCACGGCTAAGAGACAATGGTTAAAGGATATTTTGATAAGTAACAAATGGCGAAAGAGTGTCATTACAATGACAGGGAAATTCTGAGTGGATAAAGGAATCGGGTGTGTTTTGGCGACGGCTGTGTTATCTGGGATGCATAAACAAACTGCTGGCCAAAGAAAAATCCAAATGAAAATGTTATTTCGATAAGTGACGGAAAACAGGTGGACTAAAGGGCTTTGGATAGATATGAAAAAATTGTGTCAAAAGCCGCACACGATGTGTCCACTGACCGATTTCTTTCGACGGAACATCTTTAGCCTGCGATAATAAAATTATGTTATCAGAAATATGTACCGAAAGGAAATGAATGGGAACTTAGAAATGTTCTTTTCGGGGCGACGTCTGGCCGTGTTAAAAAGACCACCCATTCTGATAATTAGCGATAAGATGACTGACGAATCCCAGGTGTAGAACAAGAGTTATGACCACCGTCGTTCATATTATCCTGTTTGCGGCTAGAGAAAATGATAACTGCGATTAAGAGGAAGAAAAGGAAAAAAAAAGATAATTTTTTTTTTTTTAGTTAAGCAAGATATTTTTTTCCCTGAAACAAAGCCGCGGATTCGTCCACGCCCGACTAAGACACCATTGGTCGAGTGGTGATCACGTGACGCACGAAGGAGGCTGTCGCCGCCCATCCAGAGGATAGGTATGAGAAGCTGCTACGAAGTGGGGAGGGCAGCTCACGCCCCTCTGAAGTATGGTGAGAAGGTGGGAGTAAGAAAAGGCTCCCAAAAATGGAAAGTAGTGGAAAATTCCTAACCAGAAATAAAAGAGGTGGATATGTATTTAGAATTATCGAGGAACCCCCGACGCCGACAAACCCACCCCGGTTTGGTCGGCGTCCATATAAACGAAGCCGCAGCAAGCAGAAATCAGTTGAGTTCAGTTCAGCAGAGTGGAGTCGCAGCAGAGAGTTCGAAGCTCGCAGTGGAAGTTGGTTCCGCCTCGCAGATAGCTGACTTGAAAGATTCACGCACATTCCGGACTCCTCTTCAATCCAAGAACAATTATTTTGAAGAGCGACTTAGATCCAGACCACCAAAATAAGTTTTTTTTCGACTTTCGTCCGAAGACACACCGAAAAACCAATTTCTTAAAGAGCAAACAACTTGAAGCATTAAAACTCGCCTAACGGAAAACAACGTGTCACAATCCATAGAACGGGTCGGGAAATAGACGCAGTCCTATGTATCGAACAACTAGACAACTTTTTCTTTGATATCTTTTGAGTTTTCATTTTATTTTCTTTTATGCATATTTGTGTGGTGTCACCCCCGTTGAACCCGATTTGCATTACGGCCCCAACTACTCATTGATCTCGTCTGCCTAAGATCAATTCACAACGTGGGTAGGCAGACTGGAGATCAATGCAGTTACTTTGGTAACCAGGCGTTGGAAGCGTGTTGGGAACGACGAGGCTGATATCAAATCTAACAGATTCCCACCCGAATCACCAAAAGGTTAGAACGTCACATTTGGGTGCCGCGACCGATATCAAGCCAGTTGGTCGTCACAGGACGAGACAACACGACTGACGCGACAGGCGGACGTCACGTTTGGAGCGGCGACACCCGAACGGAGCAGCGAGGAGCGAACAGCTGGCGCCGCGGCGAGGACCTCACAGTTGGTGCCGTGGTAGACCAGGATAGGACGTCACAGTTGGCGCTGCGACCAGGGGACGACGTCACAGAGATAAATAATAATAATAATAATAATAATAATCTTATAAATATAAGTAATTATACTCGTCCGGAAAAACCTTAGGTGTTTTGGCTTATAAATGAACAAACCAATACCCAAGGGAAAATAAGGAATAAAAAAAAGAAAGAACAAAGAACATGTAATTCAGGCGAAAACAATCGACCAGAATCCAAGCTCTGAGTTCAAAGAAAAAAAACCTCTGACACGAGTAAAGTAAAAATAACTAAGCAAAGTGCTCAATACACTAAGTAGACCAAATCTAACTATGAACCTAAAGAGCCAGGCAAACATACCTAGGTTTTATCTACGCGGATCGTCAGGGTACGCCGGACATAGAGGTAACATTAGAACAGAATATAAATATCCTACAACATAAAAACATGACCATGTGACCAAAAAAACAAAAACAAAAAAAACAACAATGGGGGCGGGGTTAATACATATTTATTCAATAACAAAAAAAAAAAAAGAGAGAAAGAAGAAAACCAAAGCTATTCTAGTAACCAGTGTTTCTTATGTCTACACTTACTCAAGATTTCAGATTTTAGGTTTAGCAAATTGTTGGGTCCTTTATACAAAGCGATGGCTAAATTTTCCTCTATACATAGAGGACAACATTTATTACCTGCTTTATAATTGTGGCATTTCTTTAATATTTTCCATTTCAAAATGGGATCTTTGATATAGTCTTGTTTAATTTTCCACACGTTCATAGTTATATATATATATATATATATATATATATATATATATATATATATATAGTTGTATATTTAGGCAGCAATCCTTCCTTTATGCATGTTTCATTAAAAACGACAGACAAGGTACTATGGTTAAGCTTTTTATTTAATTTTTCTTGTGTCCTGACAAGAGCTTTTTTTCTGGACAAGAACTGTCCAAATGTTTTATATTTCCGAGCGCTTTCAAAAATATCTTTAGCCATTATCAAGGATGATTCGATTTTTTCAGCTTAATTGAGTGTGTGTTCTGTGTATGTTTAGTGTGTGGTAGGGATGTTTTTAATTTCGAATACGTTTAGCACATTGTGGCTTTGTTCGTAGTTAATATTGTTAAGAGTTGGCTTTTTCTTTTTACACAAGAAAATTAAATAAAAGCTTAACCGTAGTACCTTGTCTGTCGTTTTTTAATGAAACATGCATAAAGGAAGGATTGCTGCCTAAACATACAACTATATATATATATATATATATATATATATATATATATATATATATATATTTGAGGATTAAAAAAGGAGAAAAAGGGAAAAGTGGAGAATTGGGGAAAGTCGAAAAAAGATTAGAGTGAGTTTTCGGTGGAGCGAAATTATACTCACACAGGGCAGGACTCTTTGCAAATTACCTCCCCCTCTCATCGTTCCCTCTGTTTTTGTTGTTGTTGTATGTGTTACATGTAATAGGAGTAGGTAGGCTTTCCTACCGCCCGGTCCACACTCCTCCCCCTTCTCTTGGACATGAGTAGAGGCTCTCGCCTTGTTTCTTGTTTAGGAAGGAGTTCCCGGTACTCTCTCTCTCTCTCTCTCTCTCTCACTGGCCTCTGTATCTCCAGTTGCCTTGATCTATCCACTATCCTTCTCCTCATCCTTTCTTCTATCACTCCTATCTGATCTTGCTCCAAATTTTCTGTAACCCCTTGCGTCCTAGTTCCGGGCGGCATAGCTCTGACACTACCGTTTACACCCCCCCACCGACTGTGAGGTAAGGGTTGGACTTGGGGGGCTTACAGTACCAGGCGGACAGGTCTGACACACACGCCGGCTAACAAGGGCTCTGGTGAAAATCCAAGAAGTGTCTGCATCGGTAACCGGCGGCTTCTGGTCGTTCCTGTCTCTGCGTCTGTGGGAACCCCGCGGCAAGCAAGAACGTTATCCGAGTAGGCCTGGGTACCCTACTTCTGTAATTTATCCCAAGAATCTTCTTCTCATAATAGGAAGAAGCCGGCTCAATCCGCCCAGGGTGAATGCCGCATCAGTACAGTACAGTATATATATATATATATATATATATATATATATATATATATATATATATGTGTGTGTGTGTATAAATAACTTCCCGGTGAACAGTGAGTGACCACAAGTAAAAGTATGTTTCATGCCTGTTCCTGCAATCATCATGTAGTCGGCAACAGTTATTTTTTCGGCATTTTACCCTTCGGTGAATAGGGTATGTGAGCAGCAACTACCCTTTTAACATCTTGAACTTGCCAAATTGTCCGTTCAGTTTCTTTATCGCTAATATTAAATTTGTCATAACCGCGCGATACGCCGCGATATTTGAAATGTTTAGTATTTACTAATTCCATATCCGGAATTTTTAGGGTGGATTCAGGACTGGTGCCATCATTGATTTCATTCCAATTCCAGATCATCGTTTCTGTTTTGGGAAAGGTTTATCTTGAGACTTAATTCTTGGAATACTTAGTAGAGGATGCGGATATTTTGTTCTAGATCATTCCTGTTCCAATTATGTATGTTTATGTCTCAGCATAGTCTTCTCCTCCTCAGTGGATTGACATCGGGAAACTATTTTCTGTTTGCAGATTCATTTTGGATATGGTATAGAATGTTAAAGTGACCAGTGTCCATTTCTTTACATCTGCACTTGTATAAGCGTAGAGTATATTTTGTCTACAAAGAAGCTAAACAGATTGAGTCTGTCATTTCTTCCCTTTTCATTTCTTAAGATTATGTTTGGATTGTTGAAGTATTTTAGGTCCTCGCTTGACATATAAGACTTTGCAGACCGGCACAGTTCTTTAGTCAAATCTCTAGACATTCATTTGGATTCAGTTTCTAATGAATGATAATGATAAGCCTCTGTTGATGTCATTGAATACAGCTGTGATTCTACATAACAAGTGTACAATTTCCTATTGGAAAAGCAAGCAATTTGCTGAAATTGTTTGATGACATATATGTTGTCGTTATTACCTCTTTTCAGAACGAAAACCAATTTGGGTCACGAGAATTTGATTTTCCTAGAATGGTGAGAGTTTATCTAATACAATATTCACCATAATGGATCCAATTGAGATATCTCTGTATGGGTGTGGATCCTGGGGGTCACCTTTTACTCTCTACAATACATTAATGCGCAGTACACCTCACTTTCTTTTAGATGGACGGCTGATTCCAGACTTCCTTCATTAAATTTAGAAAGATGTTTTTAAATTCCAAGAGAGGGTACGCCATATTAAAAATTTCCGCCTCAACGTCAAGGGAATGCTTTATTATTATTATTATTATTGTTGTTGTTGTTGTTGTTGTTGTTGTTGTCTCGGATTTGTTGCGAACAGAAACTTAAATTCTAAAATGGCTTCATGATATTTTTTCCAGCGATCATTTTTTGCAAAAAAAAAAAAAAAAAAAAAAAAAAAAAGAAAAGAAATTATGCTCACAAACATTTTACATAGATAAAGCTCTTCGTAATGTGAATGATTTACTTGTGAGTACAATTTTTTGTATTTCTTTTAGTTATGGACGACCAGGAATCAATCCGAGTGTTCAAGCTACAAATGGAATTACTGATGTCTTCATTTGCCACAATTTGTAGATTTCTACTTCAATATCCTTGTATTTGGATAGTTTTTTGAAGATCTTTAAAGATACGTTACAATCTGCAGCGTCTGCTATGTCATTAAAAAATCATATTCTGGTTTTGTGGTCTTTGATAATGATGTCTGGGTGATTATTATTATTATTATTATTATTATTATTATTATTATTATTATTTCCTTTGATTTCTGGCGTGTAGACATTTCTTTCCGCGTCCCGCCCAGAGACCTAAGGTTAGAAATGGCATCATGACATTTTCCACTGACGAATTAAAAAAATCAGCACACACACACACACACACACACACACACACACACACACACACACACATATATATATATTACATAGATAAAGCCCTTCGTAAGGTGTGGTCTCTACTCGTGAGAAGAATTTTTGTATTTCTTTAAGGCATGGGCTTCTAGGAATCTTTTCCATGAGTCTACTGGAATCTTTTCCAACCAATCCGATTATTATTATTATTGTCTCGGATTTCTGTTGTATCCACATTTCCTTCAAGTTAAGTTCATAAAAGGCTTCATATTTTCCACTGATCATTTTTGTAAAAAAAATAAAAAAAAATAATCACAAACATTTTATATAAATAAAGCTAATCGTAATGTGTGATACCAGGGCTCCAACTACAATTAGAATTATTGATGTCCTCATTTGCCACCATTTGTAGATTTCTATTGCAATATCCTTGTATTTTGATAGTTTTTTTTTGTTTTGTTTTCTGAAGATCTTTAAAGATGCGTTACATTCTGCAGGGTTTGCTAGGTCAGTAAGAAATCAGATTTTGTTTTTGTGGACTTAATCCTGATGTCTGGGCGATTATTACTATTATTATTATTATTATTATTATTATTATTCAAAATCCTTTTAATTTTTTTCTTTGCTTCCTCATCATTAGGTTAGTTATTGTCTATGTTTGGAGACAGAATTTGTAATGTTCAGATGTATATTGGTGTATGTTCTAATTTTGTGAGTATATTTCGCTTATTGTGCCCCTGAGTTGCACTTTCACTTGCACTGATTTTTCAGACCAAAACCATATTCTTCTGCTTTGGTTTTGATTGTATTCTTATTCCAGTTTTCTTTGTTTTTAGTTCTTGAATCAGTTTTTTTCAAAGCAGAATTTTCGTCCCACGTGGCTCTGGGGTGGGGAGGTTTTCATGAAGATATTCATGGAAGTGTCTCATGTATTTCGGCTAAGGAGGATAAAATCAGATTATTGGATTAGTCTATGTTGTTACTGTCATGATTTAGGGACATCAATTTGGACTCGAGCTTAATACAGAATTCTAATCTGACATTGTCTACACCCTATTTATTTATCTGGTTGCAAGGTTGATTCCATTGATCGATATTTATTCAGTTGTAAGTTTGTCTTCGCTTGACTCTAATTATCCAGCTACAATGTTTGCTCTAGTCGTCTGTATTTATCCAGATGTAAAGTTGGATTAACTCATCTGTATTCATCTTGTAGCGAAATATTTCCACACTTCTGCATGTATTCCCGTGTTTACCGTTGGATTAAATACATCAGCCTCGATGTGGACATATGTATAAATGTTTCATAGTATTGCTATTAAAACAACATAGCACTTTGCGTGCTTTTTAGTACCCTCTTCTTAGTACCCTCTTCTTAGTACACTCTTCTTAGTACCCTCTACTTAGTACCCTCTTCTTACTATCCTCTTTTTAGTACCCTCTTCTTAGTACCCTCTTTTTACACCCTCTTTTTAGTACGCTCTACTTAGTTCCCTCTTCTTAGCACCCTCTTTTTAGCATCCTCTTCTTAGTACACTCTATTTAGTACCCTCTTCTTAGTACCCTCTTTTTAGGGCCCTCTTTTTAGTACCCTCTTCTTAGTACCCTCTTTATAGTACCCTCTTCTTAGTACCCTCTTTTTAGGGCCCTCTTTTTAGTACCCTCTTCTTAGTACACTCTTCTTACTACCCACTTTTTAGTACCCTCTTCTTAGTACCCTCTATTTAGGGCCCTCTTTTTAGTACCCTCTTCTTAGTACCCACTTTTTAGTACCCTCTTCTTAGTACCCTCTTTTTAGGGCCCTCTTTTTAGTACCCTCTTCTTTTGTACCCTCTTTTTAGTACCCTCTTTTTATGGCCCTCTTTTTAGTACCCTCTTCTTACTACCCTCTTCTTAGTATCCTCTTTTTAGTACCCTCTTCTTAGTACCCTCTTTTTAGTACACTCTTCTTAATTAGTTGTCATAACGGCTTCTTCACTTTTTGCTGTAGTGGAGACATTTTTTGCAAAGAATAATTGAGCTGAAAAGGTATGTGGGTACATCATCTGACCCCGGGGAATTGAAGAGTCCTGTCTTGAGAGAACACTCCTGTTGAAATGAATCAATTTGTTTTCTTTATTAGACCCTCGCATATTTCTTTTTTCTCCATGAAGCCACCAAAAATATAAATATATTTAGTTATCTCATATCATTTTATTGATTCTGGGTTGTTTGTTTTATGCTTAATACTTATATTATTCGTGATATATCATTTAATTGAGCTCTTATCAGTTAAATGGCACGTTAACGGACAGGATAATGCCGTGGTTGTGAAACCAATATATATATATATATATATATATATATATATATATATATATATATATATATATATGCCCACTGTGGATACATCAACTACCCCCAGGGAATTGAAGAGCCCTGCCCTGATAGTACACTCCCTCTTGAAATGATTCAATTATAATTTATCGATATTAGATATATTTCTTTTTCTCCATAAAGCCAAAAAATATAAATATATTGAGTTATTTGCCGTTTTAAAACCATCGGCTTAAATGTTTCAATTATTTAAATATATTTAAATATACCACTTGGAATAAATTAACGTGTTTTTATTCTTCCATATTTTGTTTTCCATGAGGTTAAAAGAAGTATATTTATATTGTGAGTCAGTTGCTTGTCCAACAGAACGCGTTTAATCATTTCGATTATTTGCAAACAAATATTTTAACACTTTCAGCCTAAAGATCCTTTCAGCAGAAAATCGATAGATTACCAGAGTCCTGTGCAGAAATCCGCGCGTGTCTCACATTATTGCGATGAACAAACAGTAATCGCCATGTGCATTTAAAATTATTTCAAGGAAAAAGAAAAGAAGAAAAAAAGAAAAGAGAAGAGAGTGAAATGAGAAAAAAGTTTTAATATTAAAAGGGGAAAGAAAAAAAGGTGAAGAAAGAGGGGGAGAGAAATAAATATGGGAAGGAGAGTAAGAGTGAGAAAGAAATGAAAGAGGGAATTCAGCGAGTTGACAGAGTGACCCAGAAAAGATTTTTTTTTCTTCCGGGACTAGACAAGTTAAAAAAAAAAAAACAGGATTGAAGGTCTGACAAGAATAGCGAAACGCTATAAAAACCAGAACGCAAATTTACTGCGGATGATCTAGTGATTAAAGCACTTTCTAGACCATTTCGTTTTTGGGAATTATTTTGTCTTTGAATTAGAGTAGCTGTTTTATATATATATATATATATATATATATATATATATATATATATATATATATATCAAAAATCGTGGTCAATCTTGTTACGGTGAGCATCTAATGCGTTTAATGTGTTGTAAAATATTTTAGTTAAATTGCTTGTGGTTTCTATTATGTATTTCTTTTGGCAATTATTACAGACTAGCAGTAGAGCCCGGCGTTGCCCGGGGATGTAACAGTAAGAGATAGATCAAGTATCGACCATCATAAAGACTGAAAAATAAAATTGACAAAGATTATTGCTTAAGGTTGACGAACACGCATGTCTTAGTTTTTGTTTTTTTTTATGAATTGGTCAAACCCAAACTCAAACAAAAACATTGTTTTCAATCGTTATGAGTCTACCGATTGAACAGAATTTTATTATAAACAATTGTCTTGTAAATGGAATTTTTAAAGCATTCTGAATGTAAAAATAAAGAAAAAAAGTGTGCAAGATAACAAGAAACACTACCTGCCAAAAAAAAAGTGAAGTTTTGTTGAAATCGGTTGAATCCGATCCCATATATAAATGAACACAGACACACACTCACAAACAACCTGGGTTTTATAATAAGTATAAATTGATATGAGTTGTCCCCCTTTCATTCTCGACAGTGATGCCTCGTGATCGTGTTTTCAAATTGATTTTGTGCAAAAACAATTGTGTTTTTCTAATTGTTGGTGCTGCCTGAACCACCGCAAGGTAATTTTACGTAGTCCTGTGAAGTTTTGTTGAAATCGGTTGAAAAATGTAGGAAATCCGATCCAATATATGAACGTACAGACACACACACAGACACACACAACCTGGGTTTTATAATAAGTAAGGTAACAGAGAAAATTCCTCTTTCAAGTTTTAGGCTATTTATTTTATCTTGTATTAATTAAGTCATTTATTGTTTTAGACGTAGTTCATGCGCATGCGTAGTCGCATCATTGTAAACATATAAACTTAGTCCGTTGAAAGCTTAAAGAACAAAATAAATCACACGAATATCTTTTTCTAATTTGTCATGCATCTTTTTCTCTCACACTGGGTTGTATATTAATATTCTTTCGTTTTTATTATTATTTCATTTAGATTCGTCGACTAATTTCGGTCAACATGGCTATCATCAGGCTGCTTGCTGGTAGCAGTGAACTACAGAAATGAATGTCTTGATGGAGAAAATTAACTTTTGTCTGTAGTTTTCATTTGTTTTTGTTTTTATTTTTTTAACATGAATTTTGGTCAGACCTTGTGTTGGTCAAACAGTCTCTTTTAAGTTATTTGAGATAAGAGTTGGATGGATTCAATTTTGCATTAAATATTGCTTATATATATATATATATATATATATATATATATATATATATATATATATAGTAGTAATTAATGCAAAATTGATTAAATCACGTAGACAAGGAAAATTTGTTGTTTATTTTCGGCTTTTATTTTCTTTTTTTCTATCAAGTTAACTTTTGACCCTTTGAATGTAATTATTGTTCAGTCGTTGTAATCTAGAGTTTTCAACCATATTTCGGAAAATCTAAGCGGCTTCATCTGTTTTCACATTTAGAATAATTTTAAATGCACATTTATAGCCATTACCGTTTGTTCATCGCAATGATGTGACACACTCGCGGATTTCTGGACAGGAATCTGGTAATCTATCGATTTTCTGCTGAAAGGATCATCAGGCTTATTCTTGGACAGGTTTTGGAAAGTGAATTGGGCGCAGAACATTCGGGGGAGAGAGAGAGAGAGAGAGAGAGAGAGAGAGACATATATATATTCAGTCTGAAATAAATAGGTAGATAATGAAATGATTACGATAGGTAATTAAAAGATTGTGATCGATAATAACAAGATTGACATAGATAATGAAAAGATTGAGATAAATAAATAGGTATAGACATAGATAATGAATAGTATGTGACAGATCGATAGATGATAGACTGAAATAGGTCGATAGTGTACTTAAAATATTGGCAAATTATTGATCCCATTGTGATGAAAAGTAAAAAAAAAGAATTAATTTTAAAATATCACGAAGAAATAATTCATGTAAAAATAAATAGAGGAAAGCTTTAAAAAATGAAACCTTTTTTTCTGACATAAATGGAATTTCTAAAACGAACAGACCTCAAATAATAATAATAATAATAATAATAAACACAAAAAAACACAAAAAAATGGAAGACTGAGAAAAGCGAGTAACATCTCCACATTCTTCAATCCAGTTTCATGTCCGCCATATTGAAACAGAAAAAAATCTCATAAATAAATTGAAAGCCAGCGTTTTTGATGATTATCAAACAAGTAAAAAAATGGAAGTAATTAAAGTTTGTTTGTTTTTTCAAATTGTTAAAAAAAAAAAAGTACAGAATTTGGCAGCGGCACAACAATTTTTCGTGTAGCAAGTAGAAATTGGAGGAAATGAAGGCCTGCAAAGAGAAAAGTTTGAAAAATATAATAAAAGTAAAATAACAGTTAAAAATAAAGCCTCATCTTGTTTAATGCCTTTTCAGAAGTTTTTTACACGTAAAAATATACAAGTTCGTACACACATCACACACACTTACATATATATATATATATATATATATATATATATATATATATATATATATATATATATATAGATAAGCATTATCCAAACAATGGTTTGTTAAACTATTTTTTTTTTTTCATTTTTCACCTTTGGAAAAAGATTTACATGGTAATTAAAATTTTAGCTAAACTGTCCAAAATTTTTGTTTTTGAGTGCTGGAATTCGAATTCACTCAATGTGCCCTCACGCGCAACGGTGACACGAACCTAGACCTCATTGGAAAAACATCAATTTTATATCCATGCATAGTATTAATTCTTTTTTTTGTATTTATATTAACTTAATATTTCAGATACACTTCAAGATTCCGCCTCCTCTGATATATATATATATATATATATATATATATATATATATATATATATATATATATATATATATATATATATATATATATATATATATATGTGTGTGTGTTTGCGTAAGCATGATCATATTTTTTCTTTCTTATATTAATTTTTTGCATATATTTCCGCTGCATTTTATATATCGGCAAGGGAGATTTTATATATAGGCAAAGGTGATTTTATACATAGGCAAGGTAGAATAAGTTATACACATTTCTCTATATGAGAACTAGATTAGACAAATAAAGGGCAAAGTGGAGAAATTATGTGTTACGCGATTCATCCGCTAAAAAGTTTTAATCGGACAAAAGTAATGTTTTTATTGATGGAATTATATATATATATATATATATATATATATATATATATATATATATATATGAATGTATGTATGTATGTATAATGTGTGTGTGTGTGCGTGCGTATAAAATGTATGTAAAACGCTTTTAATTATGTCATTCAGTTAAAGACCATAAGTCTCTTTTGATACATGACTCTCCAAGTCAGTCATGAATATCTTCAGAGTTACAACGTGCGGTGTTGAATTCCAAATCGGATAACTGATTTCGAATTCATCAGGCGCGTTAGATTCATTTAACGAGCAACTACTAATGGGAAAGGTATGAATCCATCTCTTCTCCCCGCTATGGGTTGAATAGCAAAACAGAGTGGCTCCTGTAACCTTGGTTGACAACTAGTCTGCCGCAGAAAGAAACGGGAACATATCGACGAAAATATGGCAACGATTTAATTAGGCGTAGAATATTTACATATATATTAGGTTGTCCCAAAAGTTCGTTAACAGTTGCGAAAAATTTAATTTTTATGCAATTTTTAATTGTTTCTTACTTTATCGAGAATTGGCTGATGAGCTTGGAGTTGGCAAATCGACAATTCACCGACACTTGAAGCAAAGTGATTTTGTTCACAAAAAGCCGCGCCAAGATCTGCACGAACTCACCGAAGCACAAAACAACAGATGAGTCTGTCTATATTTCTGAGATGAGGTATTATGTACAGTATTTACATTAGTCAGACTATTGTCCTCATCTTTGTCGCCATATTTGTCACAACGTTTCGGCCGTTGTACGCTCCGGCCTTTTTCAGGTGGTTGGAATTTCAAACTGAACCCTTTATTTCGATCACTGGGGTAGACTGTTCTAGTTCCAAGTGCCATGTTTGATGGTTGTCAGTTATCTCCTGCTAATTTTCCCTCTGAAAGTTCTCCACTGCCTTAATCGGGTATTGAACTCACATTCTTTGAGTCTGTCACTGGATCTAACCAACGCCTTTATCCACTGTGCCATGTGTCCTCAAGGAACTAGAACAGTCTTCCCCAGTGATCGAAATAAAGGGTTCAGTTCGAAATTCCAACCACCTGAAGAAGGTCAGAGCGTACAACGGCCGAAACGTTGTGATAAATATGGCGACAAAGATGAGGACAATAGTCCGACTAATATAAATACTGCCAACAGACGAGTTGAAATTTGCCGTCAATTGTTCAGCAATCCATTGGACGAGCATTTTTGGAAGCACATTGTGACATCAGACGAGAAATGGGTCTATCTGGTCCAGCACAATCGAGACAAGCGATGGGTTCAGAAAGGGCAAGAGACACCGTTAGTTCCAAAACAAGATCGATTCGGCAAGAAAGTCATGTTGTGCGTTTGGTGGAACTTTGAAGGAATCGTGCATTTTGAGTTGGTTTCGAATGGTCGTGCCATCAGTGCCGAACTTTACTGTCAGCAACTGGAGCAGGTCTACGAAAAGTTGAAGCAAAAGTACCCGGCTCTGATCAACCCAAAGCGCGCTTTGATGCAGCAGGACAATGCCAAGCCACACACCGCCAGGAAGACCAAAGACAAGTTTAAAGAGCTGGACGGCGTTGAGGTTTTGCCACATCCAGCCTACAGTCCTGACTGTGCTACATCAGATTACGGCCTTTTCCGCTCAATGCAACACTTTCTGAAGGGCCGCCGATGGCTAGTCAAGATATAAAATCACTTTACACGCATGTCCCAGTTGTAAAATGCTTAAATCTCTTAGAATAACATTTAACACAATCAAAGATAAACCTCTCCCTCTCTAAAACAATTAAAAATCTGCCGTCTCATCACCAATTAATACTATTTCCCATTTAGTAATAATTTTTATAAACATTGGGATTACTAATAAGATAGATCTTAGTGGAGTGATGGCATTTTTTTTCTTAGAATTTCTTGATTCTGGTCCTTTCCAAATTGTTTTACCAAAACACATACTTTCAATATATTGATGTTGCTCTATTAATCGTGATGCTACCTTACCTATTCTTGTAGATAAACTAAACAAAGTCGAAAACACACACACACACACACACACACATATATATATATATATATATATATATATATATATATATATATATATATATAGGGTTATGACTTTCTTGTAACCTTAGGTTCATGTGTCATAAATCGAAGAACTTTTATTCAAAAGTAATGGAAAAGGCATTAACCGATGAAAAATGCTATATGATGTCTCGATGTGCCTGCACCACAACAAGTCGTGGAATCTACAAAGACAAGTTCCAGAAAATGAAAGCGTACTAAATAACTGGAAGTGGATCCGAAACGGAAAAGTCAATGCGTAGTCGATGAAATCCTAAAGGATGCAGCGCGTCAGACGAAAACTTCTCCACTTTCTCATACATTTTGCCCCTCAAATTGTTCTTGATATATAAAAATTTATATCTCGTTATACAATATATATATATATATATATATATTGTCATCCACAGACAGACTGTTTCGCTGTATCACAGCTCATCAGTGTGGCTAGACATCCGGTTGCCTCTAGCTAGTATCGAAACCCGATTGAATTGGCGTCAGTCGGTGATTCTACCACTAAGTCGGTGGCGCACGGCAGGGATGAAGGTGAATTTTAAGTGTATTTATTTTTAGATAAACACCCAGTGACTGAGAGAACTCAATTCGATTTACCGAAGAGTCTTGCATTATATATATATATATATATATATATATATATATATATATATATATATATACATTGCATTATATATATATATATATATATATACATATATATATATATATATATATATATATATATATATATACACATTTTTTTCAGATTGAGTGTATCTGTGAATAAATAAAAGAAAAACCTCTTCTTAGTCCACGCGTTTCATCCTCTGAGAGACGTTATCAAGACAAATGTAAAGGTTTATTTTGTTACACCTGTTTATATACAAAATCAAGGATTCTACTGGTTTATCAAGGCTTTGAAATTTGAGAATGTTCAAGAATATTCATCAGGTGGTTGAAAGGTCACTCAATATATATATATATATATATATATATATATATATATATATATATATATATATATAAATTTATACCTACACCCCACAAAACACAGACATTACTATACAGACATTTGAACTAGCCGTAGCAAATGACATAAAGAAAACGTAAGCTGCCACGTGACAATATTACTGAAGGGGAACGCATAGCCCTCGACACGCTGACACATAGAGATGACCTAATTAAAACACAGGCTGACAAAGGGGGTGCGACAGTGATCTGGGGAATCGAAGAATACATTAAAGAGGCCAACAAACAGCTAGCCGACAAAGAAACCTATAAAAGCTTACTTATAGATCCCCTTCCCGAATACCAAAAAGAATTAACTACCTCACTAAACATAATGCTTCGCAAGAATCTAATCGACAAGGAAACATGCACAACACTTACACCCACAAACATTACACCTGCTCGTTTCTATCTCTTTCCTAAAATACACAACAGCAACAACCCAGGAAGGC